GTGGGGTGCGGATGATTCGGGCACCGAAAACGAATCCTCGCTCGATGAGAATAAATGTGTGCTCTCCGACTGTCTCCGAATAGAGAAAAGGAGGAACACCTATGACTTTTGTGTAAATAAATTTTATGTGTGTGTGTGTGCAGTTAATGGCTCTCGCTGCATTCATTAAAAAGCACGTAGGTATGTTTGTTTTATGCTGAATTAATTGGTAAACAATAAAGTCGTTTTTTACTTGACAAATGTGCAGATTTAAGCACAAGAACAGAGTTGAAAAAAATTTCGAAAATTATACCCCGCGTGTTTAGTGCACCCCTAACTTCGAGCCGAATTTTCTGAAAAAAAAAGTGCACCTATTATGCGAGTAAATAGGGTAAGTGTTATAGCACCAATCCTTTTCTTTTATAGTAGTGAGTATGGAGTTATTTATCCAAGGGCACAAAGGTTTCTCATGTTTGCTTTGTTTATATGTGGTGCACTCAGATGTTATCTGTGTTAAAGCAGTTGCAAAGTTCGCACATTTGAAATGAGTGCCACTTTTAAACAAACTTTGGAAGTTTTTCACTTTAATTACCTGCTGCAGTTTTTACAATTAATCCTTGGATTTGCCGAGCAGTCATTCTTTACAAAAGCATCTTTTGTAAAGTGTAACAATGCAAAAATGGGGCAGTGGTCAGTGAGACTTGTATCATATACACCAGGAAATATGTTATCACTGTTGCACAAAACATGATTGATAGTCGTAGATGCACTGGGTGAAAATCTAGTAGATTCACCGATTGTATTCTTGAAGCTATATGACTGCAGCGGGTGTAAGTATTCACAATTTAGGTCTTTGCTGAGGTCAATGTTAGAATTGCCAATAACAGTGATAGAGTCATAGTTCTTAGTAGTAAGGGCGCAAAGGATAGATTCCAATGATTGATAAAAAGTGGGCAGACTCGAGCTTGGCGGCCGGTATATTATACCAACAACCACACTTGAATTTAAAGGAATAAAGAGAGATTCAACCAAACTGTTACTAATTTCAATATCTGGGAGTACCCTATAAGGCAACGCCTGCTGCATTAGTAAAACCATTCCCCCACCACGTGGTTTAGCATTTCTGAAGATTGCTTATGAGACTGTATCCAGGAATGAATATGTGCTAACCTGTTCTAAGCCAAGTTTCTGTTATACCGATAACATCAGAAGAAAAACTAGGCTGTGCTAAAAAGGAACACAACATACCTCTGTTTCTATGAATACTTCGGATGTTACAATGGAGTATGGATGTGCACTGTGTGTCGTAAAATTCGCTTTCAACATCACGAATTGAAAACTCCATACTTGGCGGAGTGATCAAGACTTAACTCCGAGAGTCCGCTAAATTACCTTTCTGACGTCGTCCTAAGAGGCGACCTAAAGTACACGAGAATTGTTGGTTTTCCGAATTGGAATTTCGGCTTGTGATAATCAACATACTTCCAATTTTTCTCTGCCTTGTCTGGCATGCTTTTGCAATTAGCATCTTATTCTCTTGGCAGAGATGTAAATTCATGAATATAGGCTCCCAGTTTTATTTCAGTGGATGCAGAGCAAGGCACTGAACAAAATGATTGAAATGTCTGTCAGATGTCATCCCTAGTTACAGACAAAAATGCACCCAATATGCCCAAAAATACATGGGAACTATGGAGTAGTATATACCTTTAGTGCCAAAAGTCATATGATATGATTATGAGGCATGGGCTCCTTAGTGTACATCTACACATAGGTGACCAGTGCACCTAAATCCAGGTAGCCTTTCAGGAGCCAATTGTGAAGCCTCCAAGACTGGGAGCGTGCACAATCTTTCAGTTTCAAAGACCATGACCGCTCATCCTTGACTGACAAAACACTCTAGAGAACATCCATTTTTGCAGCCACCATTCTGCATGGGGTGGTGGTGGTGCGTCAAGAGTGTGAGTCATGTGCACCACATGTTCTTTGCCAAAGCGTATGCTCAGTGGTTACGGTCCTCAGCTGCTGACCTGAAACATGTGTCAGTCTCTTTTTGATGCAGGCAAAATGCTAGACACCTGTGTACTGTGCAATATCGGTGCAGGTGGAGTGGTGAAGTCTGACCCCAGCCCTCCAACACCACATCGCTAAACTCCACAAACTAAGCGAGATGCTGTGTGCATCTTTTTAAGCGAGATTCTGTGTGCAATCTTATACACTTACTGCTATAGGGCTACCTTCTGTGCTGCCCGCAACCGTTGACAGCAAAGATTAGTGACGTGCCGGTGATATTTCATTTCTTATGCTTCATAACAATGACTACAGCCAGATACACCGCTATAAAGAAACGGATACACTGCTATAAAGAAACGAAGAGTCTCCTGGCCACCAAAGTTATAATGTAACCAGCTAGAGAAACTTCAAAAGGCACACTGTAGATGTGTGTTCACATCTTGGCTAGTGGCTTGGTTGGTTAACTTACAGCTAGCAAGCCAATGTAATTCTCCTATGTGATCTCTCCAAAGATAGAGCTCTTGCTTTCCAGATGGTGATTGCAGACCAATGGCAGTTTTTTTTACAAAACGGCCCAGAATCAACTTTGCACACTGGGCACAATTATCTTTGAAACAAAAGCAGTTCAAGTGATACTCGTGCAGTTGCACCCCATTTTCTGCCATGTCGTGACCCTGGCTGTGACATAGTGCCAGTGCAGTTATTTACATGGTTTGTTTACAACTAGCAAGAATGAATTTAAAAAAAGAAAACAAAAAAAGATTATTTTGACACGCTGACTTAGTTGTTTTAAAATTAATAGTTTTATAAATGTGCCCCTTCTGCATGACAACAGCATTTCCAGTGACCCTGCCAATCCGTGAAGGCTCCCTCGAACACAGAAACTGGAACATTCTTCAGCTCCCTCGTTAGGGCCTCTCGAATGGCCTGGACAGAGGTGTGGTGGTGCCGCCTTTACATGACTCTTTTCAGTAGGGGGAAGTATGAAGTAGGCTCATCTGGACTGTAACAGTGTGGCTGAGGCGGCTGCGTGATACCATGTTTGGCCAGAAAGTCTACTGCAGCAAAGGTGGTAGGTTGTGTAGCTCAGCGCATTGTCATGATGAGGCCTCCATGATTTAGAGATTACTAGACGGATGTGGAAGACTAATTTCTGAGTCAAGTACTTTTGCCTAGAATGCAGCCTGCACAGTCTGCCCAGGCAGTACAAACTAACTGTGAACCACTCTTTCGAAGTCCAAAAAGATGAACCAACATCGATTTCCTCATCGACTTGCTCATGCAGGCTCTTATCGGGTGAGGCCAAGTAGAGGTGTGCCATTCAAAGCTTTGGCATTTTGTTATGGGGACTTACTCAAAAAGCCAGGGCTCATCTCTGGTGGTAACACAGTCAAGAAAATTTAGTTTGTCACAAACACCATTGAGAAGTCTTAAAAAATCACAAGATGTCCTTATTTCTGTTAATTCGTTATTTAACACCTTGAGCACCAATTTTGCACAAACTTTTCTTAATCCGAAGACTTCAGTCACGATTTTACATGCAATAGTTTTTGGAAAATTTCATCGTTCTGACGTCATCCACACAATGAATGTGTGGTTAAAGTTCTAAAGATTTCGCACTTTCACAAAGTTTTTCATCACTTTCTTTGCTGACCAAAGATTGCTCTTCTTTTACTTGTTGTCTTTCTCTCGAGACGATTTCTGCCACTCAAAAACACTTCACTGACTCATAACATCATACCCCCTAGCATAGTCTTGATCATGTCATGGGTCTCACTTGTAGTTTTACCCAGTTTGATACAAAGCTTTGCCGCATAACCCTGCTCCAATGAAGAGTTCATTGCGAAGATGACAAGGCACCTTGAAAGGGGTTCACCGTAAACTCTATGCACACTCTGGGAAAGCTAGGAGACAATTGGTGATTGGTGCGCAAGTTGCTAAGACCTCACACCCTTCTAGTAAAGTTTTTCCCCACTTTTTGGTGGGAAAATATCAGTCCTATTTCCCCAATAAACCATATCCACAAATACTGTCTCTTACTTCATTCATGAAGAGAATGGCAGGCAGGATAAATCAGTCTCCATTTTATCTCCTGTAACAAGCCAGAGTAACTGAAAACGCTGCTGTACAAACAAGAGTTGCAATACGAGTCAAGTTTAACTCTGAGCCCATGGCTTCTGCATGCAAGCAAGATGGCTTGAACTGTTTTTTTTTTTTTTTTGGCTTCATAGAGGCTTCAATAAAATTAAAAAGAGAGTGCTTTGCACTGTCCACTAATGGCAATCACTTGAATAAGCCTGGCTGATTCAATAGTTGGAGAGGGTTGCAAAAAGGGCAAGTCAGCAAGCCTTGTGGAATGCAGTGCCAATCTTCGTGAGAGGAATACAGTGAGTTGTTTTATGAGACAGGTGAAGCTGTGTAAAGAAGATCAATGCCCAGGCGGCTAGCAAGCTTCAGCAGCTACGTTACAGTTTGTGGAGAGTGATCAATGAGTGGGCGAGACACTGAACTAATTGAAGGCTGTTGCCAACCTGTCTTTAAAATGCTTGCAACGAGAGACAACACGAGTGAAATCTTTTGGGTCAGAAAACCAGAGAAATTACTTACCATATCGTAACCTGCAAAATTTTTGTCTGCGATGGTCACCTTCACAAACAAAAAGGTTGGGGTACCGCAGTCATATATGGCCCACCACTGCCAGAACTAACAGCATCACAAGACACTTCAGACAGAAAGGGAAGCATGAAGTCCGGATTCCTGCTATTTAGTGAGCGTTGTCCCATCCTAGTCGGCCCTCGAAAGAGGTTGAAAATGAACTACGATGCAGGTTAACATAGAGACCAAGAAGTGAAAAAAAAAAAGCAAAATGCAGGCAACCATGACACCTGTCTGTTCTCAACAGAGCCGATCGCGAGAAAGCTGATGAGTTGCACGCTGGTCTTTTGTCCACCACATTATACAACTTAGATGGCATCATACCTGAATTCAAGGGTTATTGTTCCACTCACCTCCATGAGGTGCTGTTCGGAAAGGTGGTTGCGAGGATCAAGCTCAAAAATGAGCACATGATTGACACCAGATGTACGCCAGCCATAAACATTGACTCCGATGAGGAACATGAACAAGATAATAAGCAGTGTGCCCCGGTAGAGACGGAACACGATGCGCCAGTCGTCCCGCGTCTGGCTAAACACACCTGGGGCAGAAATAAAAAGAAACACTCATATAGCTAAGCCTTAATATAATGACCTTCAATGCAGACAAAACTTAATATGTACCCACTTTAAATCTGTGAACAATTAACATGTCATTGTGATGAATTCCTGGCAGAGTCTCGTACAGCCTACTGCACTGACCCAATTAAAGGGTCCCTAAACCACCCAGAGGTCAAAATATAGTAGTGGTGGGGAAGTTGCGTACGAGTCTACAACTACACGTAGCTGTGAGAATTTTTCGAAACGGTGCCGTAATAGTGGAGTTAGACGCGTTTGATGATCAAACCACAGCGATCACTCATTTTTCTCTTTTTTTTATAACCCTGTGCTGGCCTCCTCTCCCAAAACCACTTTGCCCTCCTCGCCTAGTGCCCTTTTTGATTCAAATCCGATCCCACCTGGCATACGTCATCACTGATGTGCTGTTTGAACACAGTCAACTCTGTGCTTGTTGGCTAACTGCTGTTGCCGTGTCAGACCATGCTCCTATGAATTGTGCTAGTATAGACACCGTGTTGCACGCACACCTAGGAGACATAAGAAACCATCGCCACCGCAACACAATGAAAAACAAGGAACATGGGAAGCTGCCAGCAGACTAACCAAAAATCGTAGATTTCTGCTTGACCAACCACAGCATGACTTGCGCTATGCATCACAGATTCAACTTTGCGACATCACACGAAGAACAGAAAGGTCCAGAGAGGAGGAAGAATTAAGTAAAATTTGTGCGTGCACGCAGCTCGTAGCACTGGCATGAGTGGCATGGTTGATTGTGACGGAATACCGTCACAAGATGCACGTGTTTACTTGAAATGTTTGAAAAAATATTGGAGGCGGTTTAAGGACCCTCAAGTGAAAGCAGGTCATTTTGTGCCAACCAACTAGTAAGTACCCTGTGTGCTGCAATTGTTTTTGTGGGATAAAGGTTAGCAGTGCCCCTGAGCTTACCAGTGCCATAGGGTGTTCTAAAAGGTCTTCCATCTTTTCAGGTAATGCAGAGATTGCTCAATCAATTATTCTGACTTCTGCACAATGCCAGCAATGCGTTTGAGAATAGGCATCAGAAAAGAACAAAGGCAGGTGGCAGCCACCAACGAACATACCAGTATGACTCACCGCCAGCAACCCTATCGCCATGTGCATCTTCAGTTATCTGTTTTGTCGCACGTGTGGCATAGCGCTATTACAAGGTTACAACAAGTTTTTAACAGGAGAAAACTTAAGCACACCGAATTACCCTTTGCTGCTGCCTTGCCGTGCCAGATCATACTCAAGTGCACATCACTTAGCAGATCCGAGAGCAGCTCACCGTTGCCGAGTTGAGTGTCACAAGTGCTGAGAAACCACTTATCACTAACATCATGCTAAACGAGTGCGTATGAATACAGCAAACATAGCACTCTTGTAACTGTACTGCCTGTTAAGATTAGGCAACAGCTCAAACACAATGCACCATGAGTGTGGCACATAAGTAATGCCTTACATGATAGGCATGTCATGATTCTTGTGTTAACATTTCTCATTTATATTCATCATACAGTAATGTCTCTCCTTACTTACTTTGGTATATATACATCCATTTAATTAAATGGTCCCAAGCATCCTAGGACCATGTCATGTAAGTCCTGTCGTACTTGACATGCATGTCACGATTCGAACGTTACACTCAAACCTCCTTAGAACGAAGTTGCATTTTACATGAAAATTAAGTTTGTTATATTGCAAAATTTTTTTTATAAAGGTAAATATGCAGCACTGTATGTATTGAAAGAATATTTTTCTTTTACTTCTTTATAACCGATATTTCGCTATATCTCTGTTAGTTATATCGAGAGTTAAGCGTACTACTTGTTACTTATGTTTGCTACACTCTTATTCTGCCATACCAGTTCAGGTATACGGTACATCAAATTAACGAAATATCTACATGGGCACCAAGGCTGTGTCATGTAAATCACACAGTTCATAACAAGTGTGTCATAATTTTCATGCTATGCATGAATGAAATGGTCACAAGAGCACGAAATTGTAGGCAACCGAACAGATTGCCGGACAGACAGATGGATTGATTTACAGATCGATAAATAAATAGGGAGGTAAACAGATATGCTGAAAGTTACAGAAGTTAAGAAATGCTTCATATTTAAAAGCAATTTAGTGAGCATGAAAGATGAAAGATGAGCTCAAAATCGTGAAAAACTGAAGCTCACGAAGACAACTGTCATTTTTTTGGCACCGAGTGCTGCGGGGTACTGACACCCCCTGTAAAGTTGTTTGCGCCGCGTGGCGCACTTGTCTCGCACAAAAGCCATATTTCGGGGGTGACAACCGCCGGACGATAGATGGCGCTGTGTTCGCGTTGAGTACCACTGTTGGTAGAGTAGTAGCGCCGGCGGTGACCACCGGCGGAAGGCAGGCATCGGTGGCAGGCAAGAGTTGAGCGAGCCTCTTCTGCGCATGGCGGCTGCCGCGAACGGTTGTCTCTCGCTGTGGGTCTGCCGTGGACGGCACCGTGAGCCGCCTGCGGTAGGCTTGCGTGGTAAGTCGACGCCGCCTTGGGTGTGTCATGCTGTGTGTTTGTTGCATTATTGTGTAACGATGTCCTAGCGTGTTCATTAGAGATGTATCGATTCGGCGGACAATATCGTCGTTATAAATTAGTTAAATAAATGTGTATTGTTCTTTGGTTTGTACCGACCGTGTCTAATGTGTCTATTCGCTCCAAGAGCGTGGCGTGGGGAGGCGCTCGCCTCGTCGAGGCCTCACACTGGCGCCCAACGTGGGGCTCTTGGAGTATCAGAAGACGGTTTTTGCAGTTCGGTGCAAGCTTTTGTTAGCACCGGGGTAGAGCAGGCCTAGGGAGACTTCTTTGCTAGCGTCGGTGGTGTGCTCTGTCGAGAAGCGAGGAGATTGGTTTTGCGACGTGTTTGAACTTGTTGGCACTCGAGCTTTTATTTATTTTTTTCTGCTCGCAAGTGTTTTTTTTGTTGTTAGTTTTCAAAAACGTTGTTGAATTAGGACGAGAGCCATGCGGTCCGCATCCTGGGGTGAGCAAGGCCTAGAGCACGTGGTTTGTAGGCCAGGCCCGAAGCGAGCGAGTACGGAAACCTCGTGGGTGGTACGATTTTCTGTAAATAGCTTCTTCCATTTCTTTGGGCTCAGGGAGCCGGGGCATCATTGCTGACTAGTATTGCGGCTCGACGCCGGGGCGGTGAACGCCGATTGCTCGGTAAGCTGCTGTGTGCGGTGAGCGATAGGGCCACCTCACAGAGTGAACGTCTCCTTGCGGCTGCCTCTTCTGCGCCTAGGTCGGGTGCTGGGTGGATGCCGATTGTTGCCGAGCGACACATTAGGCCTAAAACTCTGCGCAGTCGCCTGTCGCACGTGGCACAACTAGGTGGATCGTGGCGTTGAGGTGTTGCGCTCTGCTTCCCTAACTTTTTTTTTATCTTGCGATGCACGAGATAGAAAAGTGATTTTTATGTTATTTTGATGGGCGTCTCGGCTGCCGCTGATGTATTAGCTATCCGTACTGACCATCATACCACGTGGCCCGAAAGCCCGAAGCTCCCTTCCCTAGGCCCTGCTCCATTGTTTCTTTTGAGTTTTTTTTTTTTTTTTTTTATTGATGTATTCAGCGGGAGGGATGTCATCCACGGCCAGCTGTCTTCTGCACATCGTCAGCGTCGCTGGCCGGAAATGCCGTCGTGAGGTTGGGCGATGGAGATGCCTGGGACCTGTGAAACTGCCTGCAGTCCGGCGCCCTCATGAGTGCTGGTCGCAACTGGAAGACGTGTCGGCGCTTGCGACGGTTCGTCGCGCCGACGGCAACGTTGCTGTTGCGGGGCCGGTACTGAGGTGAAGTCGAGCCGGACAGTGCAGCAGTGTCGACCAGCGGCGGTGTCATGGTGCAAGGACATTGTGGACATGAACGGTTGTCTCTCGCGGTGGGTCTTTCGTGGACGGCACCGCGGGCCACCTGCAGTAGGCCCGCGTGGTAAGTCAAGCGTTGGCGACGCCGCCTTGGGTGTGTCATGCTGTACGTTTGTCGCGTTATTGTGTAACGATGTCCTAGCGTGTTCATTACTGATGTATCGATTCGGCGGACGATATCGTCGTTATAAATTAGCTAAATAAATGTGTATTGTTCTTTGGTTTGTACTGACCGTGTCTAATGTGTCTATTCACTCCAAGAGCGTGGCGTGGCGAGGCGCTCGCCTCATCGAGACCCCACAGTGCCACCATCCTAGTACGATTTGAAAGCATCCCCATTTTTCTCACATACAATAGCTGCCCAGAGGAAAGAGAAGTAAGCAAGGAATAATGACAAAGGCCGGTCTGTCAAGATGTATGTGCACTCCCGATCGGCTGTGTCAAAAGTAAATTGTACACAAACCCTGCCAGGGAAGTTCTAGCTACAGGTGTACTTTTAAAAACTATACCAATCTGGAACTTTTTTGTTGGATAACTTAGTGATTGTAAATAGTGGTGAACCAACGCTTCATTTTGAAAACTTTGAAAATAGAATCGTGCACTAGCGTACAAAAGCAGAATGCGCACAAATCTGATTACATGTAGTGATATAGAGTAGGCACTGACTCACCTGAAAGCTTCAACGAGCCGGTGATTGTTTCGGTACGAAAAAATTGGACGCATTGTGCAATCCTGTACCAGCCGCGTTGGCAACATAGAGACAGCAAAGCAAAGCCGAGTGTTGTCGAGTCATGCACTACATAAGGTGCTGCAAAGGTTAACCTGGACAAATAAGAGCGCCGACAATGTGCCTACACGCATTTCCACACCTCGCTGCTGCAAGTTGTTGCTGGCTAGTAAAGGCAGTAGCTAGAATAGTTCATATGCGCTAACTGGTAACTCTTTCACAGTTCTTTTTTAATGCCAACTGGTAGCCAGTTGCCTAGTGTTTTGGGGTACAGCTACTGCGCTTAAGGGCAGATAAGGGTCGAAAAACTAGGATTTT